TTCGTTTCTAATTAATTGTCGTTTTTAGCTTTGCACAACTATTAATTAATAATCACAATAAATGTATCTTGATTTTAGAAAAAAAATATATTAGAATGACTAAAATAACCTTGATCATTTGATGATGTAATAAGAGAGCGTTAATACTTAAAATTTAATTAATAAGATTAAAACAGAAAAAGAAAATGGAATAAAAATATTTTAAAAAACCACAGTTATTAAAAAAAAATTATATAGTATTATACTATCAAATTAACAATAAATATTGTTGTATGTAAATTTGTGTTGCCCATAATAATCAAATTAATTCGCTCATTTTCATTTTTTTTCATGGTAATTTAATTTACTATTAATCGTTGTTGTTCGTTCATGCAGCTGGAAAACTACCGAAGAACAACGGGATCCCATGGCGAGGAGACTCCGGTTTACAAGACGGATCGGATCAAACGGATCTCAAAGGAGGATTAGTCGGTGGGTATTACGATGCCGGAGATAACACCAAGTTCCATTTTCCGATGGCGTTTGCAATGACGATGTTGAGTTGGAGTGTGATCGAATACGAGCATAAGTATCGAGCGATTGGAGAGTATGATCACGTTCGAGACCTTATCAAATGGGGCAACGATTATTTGCTTCTTACGTTCAATTCCTCCGCTACGAAAATTGACAGAATTTATTCCCAGGTATATTTTACATATTAATTTCATTATATATTCTTCAAGATTATTAGTAACATGCAGTAACTTTATAATGAAACTTATATTGTCAAAATTAAATATTTTTTAATGAACAATTAAATTTCCTTTATTTTTTTAAAATATTGTAAACCAGCAACTAATTATATTAGATATTAAAAGATTTTTTTTAAAGAAATTTATTAAATATTTTTTGTAGAGATCAAACTATTTTATTTTAGTATTAGTATTTGTATTAGTATTCGATTGTAGACCTGACCCGACAAATACAGGTTGGTGGATCAATAGTAAACTCGACGACCCCAGACGATCATTACTGCTGGACAAGACCCGAAGACATGGACTACCCGCGCAAGGTCCAAATAGCAAACTCCGCCCCGGAACTCGCCGCTGAGGTGGCGGCGTCCATGGCCGCCGCCTCCATCGTTTTCCGCGAAGACGACGAATACTCCACCAAGCTCCGCCTTGGGGCCCAAACCGTCTTTCGATTCGCCCGTGAAAGCGGGAGGAGAGTCTCGTACTCACGAGGAAACCCGTTCATCGATGCGTACTACAACTCATCGGGATACTTCGACGAGCACATGTGGGGGGCGGCGTGGATGTACTACGCCACCGGAAATAAAACCTACTTGGATTTAGCGACGAGAGACGGGCTGCCGAAGAATTCAAAGGCGTTTAAAATGATACCGGATTTGAGTGTTCTTAGCTGGGACAATAAGCTGCCGGCGGCGATGCTGGTGCTGACTAGGATGAGGGTGTTCTTGAGCCCTGGTTACCCTTACGAGGATATGTTGAAGAGTTACCATAATGTCACTGGGTTAAATATGTGTTCTTATCTTCAGAAGTACAATGTTTTCAACTTCACTAAAGGTACCAAATTGTTAAAAAAAAAAATTAATTTGTGGGCTAAGTATGAATTTTTCAATTATTAGTTAAAAGAGTGCTAACAATGTTGGATTTATAATTGTTGTTTTGTAGGAGGATTGATAGAACTGAATCATGGGGGGGCACAGGATTTGCAGTACGTGGCGAATGCAGCGTTTTTGGCGACTGTTTTCGCCGATTACTTGAACGCCACCGGAACTCCGGGATGGTATTGTGGCAATGATTTTTTCAGAATTAGCGTTCTCAAGGATTTTGCCACTTCTCAGGTATACTGATCACATACTCTCTCTCTCTCTCTCTCTCATATATATTTCAATTAAATATAATCTGATGTATGATTCTTGATTTTTAAATCTAACCTATAGTTTTTATTGATTGAAGTTGAACTATATACTAGGAGCCAACCCTGAGAACATGAGCTACGTGGTCGGGTACGGAACGAAATTTCCGAGACAAGTCCACCACCGCGGCGCCTCCATCCCTAATGACAAAACAAAGTACTCCTGCCTTGGCGGCAGGCGGTGGCTCGACGCCAAAACGCCCAACCCGAACAACATCACCGGAGCAATGGTGGGCGGCCCGGACCGCTTCGATAACTTCAAGGACGTCCGTGGTAACTACAGCTACACCGAGCCCACGCTGGCGGCAAACGCGGGCCTGGTGGCGGCGTTGGTTGCACTCACCACCAGCGGTGGCGTTGGAGTTGACAAGAACATCATGTTCTCGAGTGTGCCGCCCATGTATCCCCCCACTCCCCCGCCTCCCCCGCCGTGGAAGCCTTAATTTTATTAGCTTACAATTCATTCATGGAATATCACTATATATATGCAGCTTGTTTGTATTATAACTCGTACTTGCACGGGGATCAATTTCAAGACGAGAAAGACAATAATATTTATTTGACATCTTTTTGAAACAAATCAAATATAAGTAAAACGAGATGTAATTGAAAAATATAAACTTAATACTTTGATCTAGAATTGTAACATATGAACTGCAATTAACTATTACAACTAAAAAAACGCGAAACAGTATGTAAACGGAATACCTCGACATAACCTATGTTGAACACGATAGATTATCTTTACTTTAATTAATTATACACTATATTGTTAGTAATGTTGCAGAGGCAGGCCCGTTTCAAAATTGAATATTTTGTTTTTTTTATAAAACATTAACTCAATCCATGAAAGAACTGTAAAAAAAAAACTTAAATAACATTTAAAATGTTCTGTATTGGCTTTTAAAAATCAAATTATGAAGATCCAGATTGTCGTGGTAGCAATATAATTAGATATAAGCCAGAGGAGCATTTTGCAATTATTCAAATATCAAAACGGCCCATAATTTCGGGAATCTCCAATACTTCTTCACTCTCTCTGGCCTCTGCACTTCCACTGTTACCCCTGCCTCTACATCCACTGCCACTTCTGCCGCCGCTTTTTTCCGCCACTTTCGCCGGAAGGCACTATCTTGACAATCCTTTTGGTCGTCGGAATAGGAATTGTGATTTTCTACAGTGTGAAGGCTGTGAGACAGGATGCTCGGAACGAGAATAGGAGAGATGAAAATGATCGCCTATTTCGGATGATGAGAGAGGCGATTACGTCGATGAATATTCGCCGGCAAAGTAGCACCATCGTTTTGGACCCTCCGAGTGATTTCTGGGAGGTTATGGCCGTAATTTTTCGGCATCGCCGGTGATTCCGTAATTAATAGCACTTAACTATAATTAATTTCATTAAACTCTTATTATTAATATTCATATTTTTGTTTTAATTTTTTTTTTCAATAAATGTTTTTTTATTCAGTCTCAGCTTCCACCACATATTCGTAACATTCTGAATTCTGAACGAGATGAGAAGGCACGTACAGATCCGATGGACGATCGAATCTGTTGTCGAATCTGTTGTCTCTAACAGGAGGCTAATCTACATCTCCGATGATATTTGGAACACGTGGCACGTACAGATCCGATGGACGATCGAATCTGTTGTCTCTGACAGGAGGCTAATCTACATCTCCGATGATATTTGGAACGCGTACAGATCCGATCGACGATCGAATCTGTTGTCTCTAACAGGAGGCTAATCTACATCTCCGATGATATTTGGAACACGTACAGATCCGATAAGGCTAATCTACATCTCCGATGATATTTGTAACACTGTCTTACAAGTAAGATTTTTCGTTTTCTTATTATTAATATTATTATTTATTTATTCAATTTTCATGAATTTTGTACCTAGATGTTTTTTTCTCGGATATGAGTACAGTTAATCCTTTTCGTTTTCTTATTATTTTTTTTCAATAATTTAATATTGTATAATCAGTGTAAAAGAAGCAAAGGTAAGAATTTTTTTCTCGGATATGAGTACAGTTAATCCTTTTCGTTTTCTTATTATTTTTTTTCAATAATTTAATATTGTATAATCAGTGTAAAAGAAGCAAAGGTAAGAAAAAACGCGATTTATGAGGTTGTAATTAGGAATTTTCGTAAGAATTTGGTATTGTTTCTTGTAAAAAAAAAAAATCGAACCTATTCTGGAAGGGGAATGAGAGATGACGCCGTTTGGCTAAGTGTTTGTTGGATTTCTTGGATGGTTACAAATGAGGACCTACCTCTATTTATACTAGACCACATCCTCAATGGACGGTGGAGATCTATTTGATACGGTTGGGAGTGGTTCACTAGAACACTCCAAAGAATTCCTACAAAAATATCTACAAGGGAGGGTTCTAGAATATTTTCTAGAATCCTCTAAGAATCTCTACTTTTATACATTTGGGCCACTTGGGCCTAGCCCTATTTGGGTTAAGTTTTGGGCTTCCTTAACCTTCCAATCCAAGGGAAACTGGCAAGGGGTTGGGCCAAAACTAGCGGGCCGTGACATCCTCCCCCGCCTAATCCGGCGACGTCCTCGTTGCCTTGAACAAGTGGAGACGGTCTTGAAATTTCCACAAGTCTTCCTTAGTCTCCCACGTTGCCTCGGACTCGGGTAGTCCCTTCCATTTGATGAGGTATTGAATACTCGGTGGAACACCCCTATGTCGCTTTAGTTGCCGGCCGAGCACTTCCTCGATCTCTTTATCATATGACTTAGTCATAATGGGTGGTGCTCGGTGTGACTCTCCTCGGCTCGCGTCTTCCTTGTCTTCGTGATACAGCTTCAACATACTCACGTGGAAGACCGGGTGGATTTTCAAAGAACTTGGAAGTTCTAGGCGACACGAAACTTTGCCGACTTTGGCGATCACCGGGAATGATCCTTCGTACCTCCGCACAAGACCCTTGTGCATGCTCCGCAACGCCTTGAACTGTTGGGGTAATAGTTTCACCATCACTTGGGCCCCAACGTCGAATTCCCGTGGTCGTCTTTTGTCGTCCGCCGATTTCTTCATACGTCGCCTAGCCTTCTCAAGGCACGCTCGGGCTAAGTCGGCTTGTTCCTCCCACGACTTAGCCATTTTTAATGCTCCGGGACTCCGTCCGTCGGTTGCCGTAGCCAAAGTGTGTGGCGTAAGCGGCTGTTGTCCCGTTGCAAGCTCAAATGGACTCCTCCCCGTGGCTTAACTCCGCTGCAAGTTGTAAGAAAATTGAGCCACGCCTGAACTTGTGCTAATTGATGAATTCTTGTGGTTTCACATGTCTTTATTGATTTAGAGGAATCGATGGGTTCGTCTTGTCTACTTATTTGTTCTTTTCTTTGAATATGTTTCATGTTATATATGTTGCTTGGGCCATATTATTTTTTTCACCTCTTTTTCTTGGTTGGTCTGATACTGTGCTATTGTAAATCTGCCTTTTAGTATATAATTTTGTGTTTGTTGTTTCTTCATGGTCAAGTATGATGCCTTTTTGTTATGGGGATGTAATTACTTCTCTAGATGTCTATCAATTGTTCTTTTAAGGTGTTATGTTGGAACATAAATTATATTATTGCTGAATAATCAGCATCAAAATCATCTACAACACATGCAGCCTGTAAAGGAAAGAGACTTTTAAGAATTAAAACGAGGCCTAAGCTGGTAGTCCGATATGCCCCTAGGAAGCCTCCTTATTTTAGTATTTTCTCCTTGTGATTTCAGTTAACTTCAGCCATTTCTGCCTCTGTTGGCCATGTCTAAATTGAAAATATGGCATAAGTGCAAGTAGTTGAAAGTAACTTTTGAGTGTTTTTTGAGTAAAGACAATGCTGTAAAACTAGAGAAACTTTTGAGTGTTTTTGTGTATTTTTTGCATACATAACGAAGCTAAATAATTCCATCCAAAGATGCACCCGAAAATTTTAACCAAGTGAGGCCTGAACTTCATGGTCTATAAGACAAAAATCTTAAATCGAAAAAGTGTAGAACATAGTTGAAGGTATGTCGTAACCTGCATGTTTTTTATACAAATAGAAGAATGAATAAAAGAGAACAATTTCCGATTCCCAAGAAAGTATTATTTATGACATCTTCTAGGGAAGTTGTGGAGAAAACCGGTCACTGCCTTTGAGATGACCAATATATCTGCTCATGTGAATCTTGTTTTAGAATGAAGGCTGATTAGATCACTCTTATATGTTGTATCTGTACATGCCGTTTGACGTAAATACTTTCCAACAAGTAAAACATGCCCATTCATTCATTTATGTGCACTCGACCAAACTTTAAAATCAAATAAAAACATTAAAGCTGGATATTTTTATTAATAGGTACGCATTAAAAAAAAATCAGTTATTCAGAAGTATTTTCACCTCAAAGAGGTTTCAGTAAAAAATATTACGGGGTGTCTTTTAATTCCATTTTCATAGAAAGAAAGAACCTGCAGGCTTCTAGTTCTAGGATGTGTGGCTCTCGAAAAAAGTTCATGCAAAAACAGAAGCAACACTTTCTTAGACCATTGGCATTCTTATAGTGAGCTACTACATGCATAAATAAAACAGAACAGAAATGCATGCATAGTTGGTATATGTGACTAGTTCTTTTTCTCGAAGAACTGCCTTTCGCAGAAAAAAAATTCCATGCTGTTCTAATAATATTTGTGTCTGTCGTCATTTGATTCCAGTCCGGGATTTCAATATTACTATATTTTGTTTCCACTATATACTATATTTTTTTTTATATTAAGTCCCCCCACTTTATGCCATTTATACTTCATTTATTATCCAAGTTTATGAAAATATATATTTAATAAGATTCAGTAACTATATTTTAATTTATGATAATTTAACTATAAATTTTCTCCTTACATTGTAGTAATACATGTGAATATACCCAAAAAAAAAAAAAAGCAAAAGTTGGGGTTGCTGCCCATCGAACCCCCGTTAATTTCCCACCCTCGTGTTAAATCCTGGGTCCGCCACTGGCTGTGGGGCAAATAGCACCGAGTCTTGTTCCTTTCAATTCGTTATTTCTTTTACTTTGCCTCAAATTTGATTTTATATTATTCTGTATCATTTTTCTTCGTTTTGTTCTTCTGTGTGTCTGCTGTTTCTTTTGCCATTTGGTCTTTTATATTTTTGGTGGTGGTTGTAGAATTATGGGATGACATTTTACGTTCAAGTATATTTTGTTAGTGTTGCCTTTTTATTGGTCGTCTTTGTGTGGCCTTTACTTGGGCACTTTTTTTCTTCTTCTTTTTAACGGTTGCGCTTAATTATTTTCGATGCGTGAATTTCTTAGACAATCTATGCTTCTTTTTTTTACTGTAATAAGATGAAAGAAAATAAGGATTCGTTCTGAACTTTATTTGTGTATCTTCGTTTTTCTGTGGCTGTTGTGTGGTTGTGATTTAAGTTTTCCTGCTTAACTCAATGATCTTTAATTTTGGTTCTCATAATGAAATGAAAATTACACTAAGGACTATGAGGCAAATACCACCGAGTCTTTGTTCCTTTCAGTTTATTCTACTTTTTATTGTGCCTCTGTTTTGGCT